TATTTATTAAAAATCTAAAAATTAGTATTTTTGGTTTTGGCCAAAAAAATTATTTTTTCAATTTTTAATAAGGGTTTGCGCGACGTAGGCTAGGTCGCGCAAACAGGCTTTGCGCGACGCATGGAAATATTCGTCGCGCAAAGCCTTTTGTCACTGCCTTTGCGTGACGGTTTTTGAGCGACGACTGTCTGTTGTGCTAAGTGTTTTTCCTACTAGTGGTATACACCCTCTAGGTTTTAGGTTATTTTCAAAATGGTTTCATCATGTTTAACATTATTACATAGGATCATGAGGTTTTAAAATCGTATCAATTTATACGTTTCATCTGTTTGAACATTTACTCCTTGTTAAAGTGGTGATATGTCATATGAGGGATCCATAATAGACTGGCATATAAGCCACAATTGCACAATTTGGACTAAAACTTTTCGATTGGTTGTCTTTTTAGGTAAATAAAGCATCGATTAGGAGAAGATGAAGCTTCATAATGAGTTTGTTTTTGTCCATATGGTGCTAGTATACCTTACATAGATCAACCTATAAACAGAGTCGACATGCACCGCGTCATTAATTTATCGAAGGACCAACCCATAAATATAAATTAGACAATTTCAAATATGTGATACAATGTGAGAAAATTAAAACTTTGTAGTTTGTTGTGAGAAATTACTCGTAACATGGTGAGAAAATTATAACAATGGTTCCTTAATTTTAAAGGAAAATTAACGAAAAGTCTAAAAAAAACTTTCCTTTCAATGAAAAGCCCTTTTTAAAGGTATAGTGAATAGTACCAGGGAAAAGTATAAATATGGTTTTTCATTAAAAGTGAACAGTCCAGGAGTGTTTTGTTAAAACTCCCTAATTTTAACCCAATTGGAGCAATGGTTCTTTAACTAAAAATTCATGATCATTGGTCTCTTGACTCATTAAAACGTGCAGCAATGGTCATTTTTCTTCAACTCCATCAGAATTCCATCAAAATGACTCATGTTTAAAGGACTATTGCTACAATTGGGTTAAAATTGAGGGATCATTGCTTCAATTGGGTTAAAATGGAGAGATCATTTCTCTAATTGGGTTAAAGTTGAGAGATCATCTCTACAAAAAAAAAAAATTCATTTGGTTTTTTATGTTTGCCCCTTGATTTAGCCTCACGTGTGTGACACGTGATTCATTTTGACATAAGTTTTAACGGAATTGACGAAAATGACCATAATTACATGTTTTGATGAGTTAAGAGACCAATGAACATGGATTGTTAGCTGAAGGATCATTGTTTTAATTGAGTTAAAATTGAGATGTCATTACTACAATTTCCTATGATGTAAAATATAGTAACCCATAAATCGAGCACCTTTATGCTATTCCTCTTGTGATGCTTTTTAGCTTGGGTCAAGTCACTTCACTATTTAGTGCAAAATCAAGTTACCTGATTTATACTGCCCTTGATTCAGATTCATATTAATGGAAATCAATTTGGTAATTTACTTTTAACTTCCTTAAAATCTCTCCTTACTCTTTCCAAAAACAAGTACATTAATTTTTAAATTTTAATGTAAAGATTATGCTTATAAAAATCATTCAAATAGAAGTTCGTTTAATTATCTAGAAGTATCAAGTAAATCGACGGTGTAAGTATCAAGTAACATATTAATGATGAACCGTTCACTTATTGATACATTTTGATGACTAAACGATATCTAATTCAATTGATTTTTGTAAGGTTGATTTTTTAATGAAAATTAAGAAATTGTACGATTTTGATAAAAAATTTACGATAATGATACGTTATTTGCAAGTATAGAAATAAGCTCATCCTTCCAAAGAGGTTAATACAAGCAGGATAATATTAAGGAGACCATGTAGTTAAATCATATTTTGAAAACCATATGACGTGGTTATTGATGATTTGATTGTTACTTAAGTATTGATTAATGTACTTATTTTTTAGGGTAAATTACACTTTCCCACCTCAGGTTTAAGGTCTATTGCAACCTCATACAACATCTTCAAAACATTTCACTTTCATACCTCACGTACTATTTTATTTCAATATAATATATCTGTTACATTTTCCATCCATTGATCCGTTAACAGCTGACGTGGCTGCCCAATTTGTGCATGTGGCAAAAAATAATTGTTTATACATTAAAAATATTATAATATTGACCCTATTTTAAAAAAAATAAATAAATAACTAAAACCTAGAAACCCATTTCCTCCCGACCCCACCTCCCTTTTATCCGCTCTCTTCACCTCCCCTCCCATCCAAAATCCCACCCCATCCCCACATCTGCCATCGTACTTCTAAAGGCCCGGCTCTGCTGCCTTCACTTCCTACCATCTTCTTCCTCCATTCTAATCTCCGCAAACCCTCATTTCAATTCTCCAATTTCCCCATATCTCTCCCTCAATCCCTATTTCGTTTCCCAAATGCAGCGCCTTTCGTTCTCCAAATCTACGAGATTCGAAAGTGGGCCGAGGAATTGGGTGATGGGATTCAGGGTAAGGGGAAATTGGGAAGTAGGTCGTTCGATTTAGAGGAATCAGATGAGGAGGGTTTTAATCTGAAACATGCTTTAGAATCATTGAGTGTGAATGGCCAAAGTGGGAAGAAGTACGATGGCAGAGGTGGGCGTGGGTTTTTGGATGGGAGGGGAGGTGAAGAGAGTGGATGAGAGGGAAGTGGGTCGGGGGAATAGGTTTCTGGGTTTCATATTTTTTTTAGGGTAAAGTACAAAAAACTACCTCAACTATTGGTGTCACGACACTTTCATACCTCATCTTTTAAAATTGACAATGTCATACCTTATCTTATGAATTTGTGCCAATGTTATACCTTCCGTTATGGTTGGCGTTAATTTCTCAGTTAAATGCTGATGTGGCTTGGTCTGTGGCCCATTTTCTATTAAAAAATTATTAAAATATTATTAAAAACTAAAAAAAAATATTTAATATTTTTAAATATTAAAATAATAAAGAAAAGTAAAAAAAAAACACACACACACTTCAATTCGTCCCCTCCCCCTTCTCTCTCTTCTCCCCATCATCATCTTCTTCCCCCTTCCTGCAACTGCAACCCAAAAAAAAGAAGAGTAAAAAAAAAAAAAAAAAAAAAAACCAATTTGTCTTCCCCCCTCCCCCTCCCCTCTTCTCCCCGCACCCACTCTTTCCACCCAACCTCCCCACCTTCGCACCCAACCTCGCACCCATTACCTGCAACCCAAAAAAAAAAAAAAAAAACCCAGATCTCGTTGAGGTGGAATCGGGAAACCTTCACCAGACCGATTTCGAAGGTTGAGAACCTGGGCTCGAAGAAAATGGGGGGAATGGGTGTGGAGGGAAGAGGGTGGGTGCGGCGGGGGACGGACAAAGTGGGTTTTTTTTTGTTTTTTTTTTCTTCTCTCTTCTTCTTCTTCTTCTTCTTCTTCCTCTTCTTCTTCCTCCTTCTTTCTGGGTTTGTTGGGCAGGGGGGGAGAACTGGGTTGGGTTGGGGTTTTTTTTTTTTCTTTTTTTTTCCCTTCCTCCTCCTCTTCTTCTTTCTGGGTTGCAGGAAGATGGGGGAGAGAGAGAGAGAAGGGGGAAGGACGAACTGACCTTAGGTTTTTTTTATTTTTTTAATTTTCTTTATTATTTTAATATTTAAAAAATATTAAATAATGTTTTTAGTTTTTAATAATATTTTAATAATTTTTTTAATAGAAAATGGGTCCCGAATCAAGCCACGTCAACATTTAACCGAGAAATTCACGCCAACCCTAACGGAAGGTATAACATTGGCACAAATTCGTAAGATGAGGTATGACATTGTCAATTTTAAAAGATGAGGTATGAAAGTGTCGTGACACCAATAGTTAAGGTAGTTTTTTGTACTTTACCCTTTTTTTTAATATGGTAAACTATTATAATATTTTAAATGCATAAAAAATAAAAAATAAAAATTGTCACGTGGCACAAATTTGGCAGCCACGTCAGCACAAATGTGGTAGCCACATCAACTCTTAACGAACCAATGGATGGAAAATGTAACGGATGTATTATATTGAAATAAAATAGTATGTGAGGACATAAATATATATATATATATATATATATATATTATTAAATCACTCATGTATCTTAACATGAAATGACTATTTAGCCCCAAAAAATTTAAAAGAAATTGAATACACAAATTATTTACTAATATGAACCCTAACTCTAAATTGGTTGTCATAAACCCAAACCCTAAAACCCCTAATTAACAAAAACCCCCAAATTGATAGAAACCTAAACCCTAAAAATAAAAAAATGTTACGAATTCGTAACCAGACGTACTTCATTATGGATTTTGTAAGAACTACAACATTTTTTTTTTCAAAATCTATAACTACTCCAAAACAAATTTTCAATTTTTCAAAAATAAAAAAATAAAAAAATAAAAAAAATTGAATAAATCCATTATAATATAAACAAATTTTTCTCTAAGTGGTAAGCTTGGCAGTCGGCGCTACTTTCTTTTAAGTTTTGTACAGTAAAAAGAATCTTCCCATTATAATTTTGAAAAGAAAAAAAAATTACCCATATCCTATCATTCTTTTTTGGATCAAAATTTTGTGAGATTGACTATAGAGGAGTAATAGAGAATAATACAAATTCTGGATTTGTGCTCTACCAGTAAAATAAACCAACAATCGAATGTCATGTAGTCGACCTCATAATTAGCATTTACTTGTTTAGCGAGAGTCTTGAAATTTGGAGGTGTGGTGAGAATGAACAATGAGAGAATGTTAAATGTATGTGAAAAATGTGGGATGTAGGGTGTATAGGAAAGTATGTGGGGTGTACTAAGATAAATTTTGATTAAAAAAATAGATATGAAATGTATTCAACAATACCTGCAGTGTTAATAAATACCCCAACAAATAAACAAAAATTCAACACCCCATTCCAAGTGTACTGTTCTCTTCCTTCACAGCTAACACGTCCCCATCTCTTTCTTTTTAGCCTTTGAGACCTCCCTCAAAGCCTCACAACCAGTTCTCATCTTTCTTCCTCTCTGCTTCCTTTCTTCTCTCCGACAAAGTTTACAGAATTTTTCTGGTGGTTTGATTTTATTGTTCCAAATTTGGTTGCTGCAGTTGGGTTTTTGGTTTCAAAGATTCTGAGCTGAGCTAATGCAAAACCAATAGCTAAACCAGAGCAAAGTATTACACACAAACATGTTGGATCTTAACATTAATTTCACCGACATAACTAATTCAAAATCTATGGAGGTAGATGATGCCGGGACATCCAACTCCTCCGTCGTCAATGCCGACGAAGCTCCGACTCCAGGCAATGCCGGAGACGAAGACTCCACCAACAATACCACTTCCTCTTTCATGTTTGATATCCTGAGGAGAGAGAAAGACGGTCTCTGCATTTCTGGGGACGGAGACCAGACTCAGTCTCTGCAGTTCGTGACGAGGCCGCTTTTTCCGGTGGCCGGATATGGCGGAGGAGGCAAGGAGGGGGCAGACTGCGGGTTGGGATTGTCGTCATCGTCCTTGTCAACGGCAAGGACTCACTGGCTGAACCTTTCGTTTGCCGAGTCTGGAGGGCAGACTCAGGCGGAGCTTAGAGTTGTGCAGCAGAAAAAACAGCCGCCCCGGAAAAGCCGTCGCGGGCCGAGATCCCGGAGCTCTCAGTACCGCGGCGTCACGTTTTACAGGAGGACAGGGCGGTGGGAGTCGCATATATGGTGATCATTATCATCGTTAATCATCATTATTGTGTTTCATTAAACAAATAATTTTGTTTAATCATTTTCTTTTACTTTTTATTTCTTTTTCCGTTGTGCAGGGATTGTGGGAAACAGGTTTATTTAGGTGAGCAGATGATCATATAATTGTTTTTAAGAAATGGATTCATCCGTTTTGAAGGATTGGATCTAAACTAAATTGGGTTTTGATTTTTTTTTTTTTTTTTTTTTTTTTGCAGGTGGATTTGACACTGCTCACTATGCAGCTAGGTAATGATTTTTATTTTCGTTTTTGTGATGAACACAATTTGGTTACATTTTTCTAATACGAGCGATATTATATTTTAAACTAATCTAAATTGCGGACGAAGGATTAGCTCACTCAGGTTTAATGATTTCAGAGCATACGATCGAGCTGCAATCAAATTTCGCGGAATTGATGCTGATATCAATTTTAATGTAGGAGATTATGAGGAAGATATGAAACTGGTATAGAATGTGACTGTTTTAATAATTAGAAAGTTTGGATTAACTTCAGATTTACTTACTAATTGGGGTATTTGTTGGTCGAATCTTTCTAATTATAGTATGATTGATTAATTTTTGCAGTTGGGGCATCTGAATAAAGAAGAATTTGTGCACGTGCTTCGTCGCCAAACCACAGGAGCCTCACGTGGGAACTCGAAATACAGAGGTGTAGCTGCAGTTCCTCAGCCTGAATGTGGTGCCATTTGGGAAGATCGAATGGGACAAGTTCCTCGGAAAAAGTGAGAACGTCCTCCCTTTAACTGAAGCTATTTTTCAGCTGAATTTAAGGATATATATACATATATGTATGTAGACACAAACAATATATCTAACGTGTATTTTATGTTGCTGGATACCAGGGTCTTTGAAAAGGAGGCCATCAAATGCAGGACCGGAAGAGAAGCAGTTACAAACTTTGACCCTAGTATCTACGAAGGGGAGATGGTTTTAAATGCTAGCGTTGAAGGTACGCTGCGAAACGAGGAAAATGTTAGCATCAATCATGCATGGACAAGAGCATGAGTTGGTTCTGAGTCCTAACTTACAAGTAGTCGGTCATAATTCATTCACGCACGCCTGCGCATCTAATTCCAGCACTCCTCGTGAAACCGACAACGGTTTTCTCGATTTGTTGTCTTACGTACAATATGGAAAGAAAATAAAAAAATAAATAAAAATCCATGGATACTCATGAACTGACACAATGAATTTGGTCTTGGTGTAAATGCAGGCAGTGGTCACAACCTTGATTTGAGCCTACGGATTTCTCAACCTTGTTCTGCTGGTCAAAAGAGGATTGGAAAATTAGGGGATTTTCAATTTCCTAAAGAGAGGCCAATGGTGTGTCCTGATTCTAGTCATTTTCATGTTTTTGTCCCTATTTTTTTTCTTCTCATCTATATTTCTGAATGAATGGGGCTTTCGTCAGTCGGTCCTTGGTGGCTGTTTAGTGATATTTAGTGCCAACTTGTGCAGGTTAATGGGTTTTCTTCTGCAGCTATGGGACAACTCCCTCATGTTCTAACGACGGTAGCCAAGTGTCCTGCCCTATATCCAGGCTTCGTACAAAGACATGGGGTAATACTTCTCATATCTATCATATATTGTTAATTTTTTATTTTGAATATAGATGGACTTTTGATTCTAGTCTTTGGAAGTTTATAAAGTAATACGTATGCATGAAATTTTGGAGTACACTAATGTTTGAAACTTCAGAATATAATTGTTGGATGAGCCACTTAAATGCATATATGAATACCATAGTTATCTTCAGACGTTTCATATAACTTCTTACTTCATCTTGGTCGTCACATTTAAATTTTTCTCCTATTGAGGTCTCATTTAATTAGTGGGTCGGACAAGATTGGAACTAGGTCCAATCTCGTCCTATTGAGTCTCACCCTAGAGATGGAACACAATTTACATGGCACAGATACACTGCTACGTGGCATCCCATGCCAATAAAACAAAGACATTTAAACAAAAACTTATGTCTTTATGAATATTTCATCAACACCGTGCCATGCAAAATCTTCTGCTAGAGATGAGACTTTAATTTTCTTTCTTCTAGCATATTTAACATGTGAGATTAATACCGACCTAATGAGTCTAGTCCTTTTCTTTATTAAGATCATTAAACATGGGAGCGGAAACTAGTCCATTTTATGACTCACATGTTTTTTGAGCCCCCCACCAAATTGAAAGTGAGTGAAGAAAAATGATAGATAATCTTGTTTTCATTTCCTTAGCATCAATTTATAAAAAGTGAAATCCAAAAACTGAAAACGAAATAGTTACCATGCTTATGAAGTGATCAAGATCAACCATTTTATTTTGCAAAATACGTTTCAAATTAGTCTATATGCTAATTAACCTAAGTCTTTTCTTGCAGGAAATAACTTCAGATCATAACAGATTGCAACCAATTTCTTCGCCGAGATACACAAATTGGGCATGTCAAGTTTATGGAAACAACAACAATGTCAGCCCAATGCAAGTGTTTTCTATTGCAGCATCATCAGGATTCCCATCTTCTACAGCTACTACACCTCCTCCGTCTGCTTCCCTTCCTCCGAACCTCCAAGATAGCAGCGCTTCTGCCTACAGTCTCGATTGCCTTCCTTTCACGGCCACGGCCAACATTTACTAGTGCTTTTGAAGGGCTGGCTAGGTCATGAGTATATGTACTAGTTTGTAATGCGCAGAGATGTTTATTTTTCGTTTCGAATGTGTTTCATATTTTCAAACATAGAGTGCTATATATATGACCTAACATTGTCCTTGTAACTGTTATATGTGAGCTTCAGTTGTAAGTAAATGGTTATAATCCTTCTAGTGGCAAAATGCATGAGGAAAAGAAACTTGTATGTTACCATAAGTTTCCCAAGTTTGATTTTCACATAGGCACGAGAAAGTATATAGCAATTCGCTCGTATTAACACATAATTTATTTATTAATACTTTGGTTTCAGATATGGAGGATTTTGAAACAGGGGGGTGGGAGGGGGTTTGGTTGGAATTGAGGGCTGCTTGGAGCCGGAGATAGATGGTTGTGGAGGAGGTGAGGATAAGAGAGAGATTAGGATATTCTGAACCCCAAGTCACTTTTTTTTTTTTTTTTTAATTTTATAAAATTAAAAGAAAATAAGAAAAAGAAACTCATCGAATAGCCTAGTCACCCCTAAGCTTCGTGCAGGCAGCCGCCTACCTAAAGGCTAGTGCCTTGGGCCTAGTTGAGGCGGACGGTTATCACCTACACCTAGTGCCTAGTTGATTTTTGTAACATTGATTAATAAAGAAACTAAGAGAGAGTTTTTTTTGTCAATGTTCCTCTTTCATTAAATGAATTATACTTACACAGAAGTATAGTATAATAGAAAGGTTATGTACAATACAATCTCTAACAACCTTATCTAAACCAATTAAATTGTGCTACAAAGGTTAACAAAATATTAGTTGTAACAGGTTTTGCCACAAGGTTGAATGCTTCCTGATAACCTACACCTTCTTGTTGGTGAAATCCTTTATTAACAAGCCTTGCTTTGTATATTTCAACCGTCCCATCAGGCTTTTTCTTTATTCTAAACATTTATTTACAACTAACCATGTTGATGCACAAAATCAGAGGTCTTGGAACAATGTAAATCTGATCGTGAATTTGCAAGAAATGTAAATAACACAAGATGTATCGTGGTTCACCTCAAGGTTTGGGCTACGTCCACACTGATTATGTATTTCTGTGAGAGGTGAGGGAGAGAAAGCTCTGAGAGTGAGAGCTTTGAGAGAGGGTGAGAGGACCTAGGAATTGGCCTCCGAGGGTGAGAATGAGGCTCTCTCACCCCCTCTCAAAGCTCTCACTCTCAGAGCTCTCTCTCCCTCACCTCTCACAGAAATACATAATCAGTGTGGACGTAGCCCAAAGGGGTGAACCACAATACATCTTGTGTTATTTACATTTCTTGCAGATTCACGATCGGATTTACATTGTTTCAAGACCTTCGGTTTTGTGCATCAACATTTGGCGCCGTCTGTGGGAATCGACACGAAAAGTTATGTCGGTTCTCTTTCATTTTTTCATCTCACCACCGTGAGACCTCATCACTGTCCACCGGCACCGTAGCCTTACGTCTAACCCGCAAAGCACCCCAGACAGGATCCCCTACTCTCCTAGCTCATCCTACTCCGACGCCTCAACCAAACTGAAACTAAGGATAGGAACGATTGGCAAGGGAGACGATGAGGGAATACGGCGAAGAGGCTGCATGTACCAAAGGGACGATTTTCTTTCTAAAGAGTCATTCCAAAGCTGGGGCAATTACGTCGATGCGTTGAAGCAGACACCGGGCCGGTTCATGGATGGGGTCCTGACCCGGTCGGCGGACAACGCGGAGCTGGTGGAGGTGAAGGCGCGAAGTCATCACGAGATGAAGAAGACGCTCAGCTGGTGGGACTTCATCTGGTTCGGACTCGGCGCTGTCATCGGAGCGGGAACATTCATGCTCACTGGACTGAAGGCGAAAGAGCACGCAGGCCCCGCCATCATGATGTCGTACGTCGTCTCCGGCGTCTCCGCCCTGCTTTCTGTTTTCTGTTACACCGAATTCGCCTTTGAGATTCCTGCTGCAGAGTGTTGGATCACCTCAACAAGCGGCTCAACCTTCAGACGTCGATGGATATTTTGAAAGACGACCACTTGGAGCTTTGCATGAAGCAGCTTGTGGGGTTGGTGAGAGAGGTTGGTAGAGAGGTAGAAGATCGATAATGGGGGAAAGTATCTTGAGACTGTAGCACTCGTTTTGTAGGGTACAGACAATATCAAAACTTTGCTATTTTGGAGACCGTTGGCAGTGTCGACATATCTCTGGCCATGCGCAATATACAGAGAAGCCATGAGAAAGAAGGAGATAAGATCCTTTCCTTTTGTTATTTTATTACTTTAATTATTATCTAGCATATTAGTTAAATAATATAATATTTCCTTTATATGTGATATCACAGTGATCATTATCATAAAACGTGATAAAAGTCTATACATCCACTACATCATTTACATTATTTACATTATGTAATGATTTTATCACATGCTCACTGTCAAAAACATTACAAAGCATATCACATGAAGTTATATATACACACACACACTCTAGTGGAATGATGATTGACGAGCACATCACATAAAGTTATACACACACACACACACTCTAGTGGAATGATGATTGACGAATGGAGCATCAGATCCTCATTGTTTAGGCTCTCTGCATCTCTCTACATTCTCTGTCAAAAGAAATAAAACACTTTACTTTACTTTTTCTTTTCAGCAGACATCATTATGTTTTCTTAATATCCTTATTTATTTAATATCTTATTATTATTTGTGTCATGATGACTAATTATAAAATAATAATGTTATTATTTTTATGTCATGAAGACTTGTGATTAAATAATATAATTATTATTTCTGATATCACATGATTACTACCACGTTGTTGATTTATGCAGCATGTCATTTATCACACAACATAATAAATCATTTCTTCACAAAAGGCACACAGTACAGTATTTTTGCCTTGACAAACTTTGTCAATTTGATTTATTCATTGTACGGTCATACTTATACTTTTATTTATTGTCAGGAATTATTGAGTAACTAGATCTACTGATCAACATTGTTGCTGATTAAAGAAGTCTACCAACTTATAGACTGATGAGCCACGTGCACATGGTAATCTCTTGTCTGACCGGACACCCACTTGCTCGGACATTCGCTTATTGGGACACCTATGTGCTCAAACCCAACTCGATAACCCTACAGATAGCCCCAACTCGATGACCCTACATATGGCCCTGACTCAAAGACCCGACTTGCGGACCCAATCCGCAGATCCGACACATAGACCCAATATGCGAACTCGACAAGCGAACCCAAGTCATGTCGAAAATCAACTCATACAGAGTGCATGTCGACATAAAGTAGATACTTGCAATGAGGAATACCACGAGCCGAGCTGCCTCGCAGCGAGTATAGCCTCTAGCCGAGCCGTCTCGCAACGACCATAGCCTTCAGCCGAGCAAACGCCTCGCTGCGAGCATAGCCTCTAGCCGAGCAGCCTCGCAACGAGCATCGCCTCCAGCCGAGCAGTCTCGTAACGTGTGATACCTATAGCTGAGTATTACTTTATGTTGAGCATTGTCTTGGGTTGAGTACTAGTTCAAGACATCTAGCCATTTCGGCCCGTACATGGATTGGATTTGAAGTCTCCAACCAAAAGACTCTCTTGACTGAATACTTGGGGGACTACTGTTGGTACCACACATATTGGGCCTCGGACTTTGATACATTGGGCCTCATTACCCAGCCATATGATTATGTAAAAGGAGGAACCCCTTATTCTATAACAGGGAACTCATCCCCCCTCACAAGGGGGACTCAGTGAACCCAACAGAGGGCAATACCCTCACAAACTCTCCCAAATTCTCTCTTTCTCTGGGAGACTCCTCCTCACCCTTGTAATCCATACATACAGTCAGAGAAATACAATCAGTGTAGACGTAGCCCAAACCTTGAGGTGAACCACGATACATCTTGTGTTATTTACATTTTCTGCAGATTCACGGTCGGATTTACGTTGTTCCAAGACCTCCGGTTTTGTGCATCAATAAACCACATTCTGAGATGAAGATGAATGAACTAAAATCCAAGTGCCAGTGGATTGAATGGCATTAAATTCATCTTGCATAGCTAACCTTCAATGAGCATATGTGGAAGCCATATTGCAGGTAGTAGGTGCAAATTCAGTGGAAGTAGGTAAATGAGATTTAGTGACAGTGTAAGTTTTTGGCTTAAAAATACCATTTTTGGTTCTTGTGACCATAGGATGTATATTGTGCAGAGGTAGAGTGCTGGAAGTGGACTGAGATGGCAATGATGAATTACTTGAGGTATTGGTATGTAAAGGAACATGATCAGATAATGAGGAGATGATTGGAGATGAAATAAGTGGTAATGATGAATTACTTAAACTAGGAAAAGATGGTTTTATGCGAAGAAATGAGAAATTGCAAGTCTATAGGAGTTAAAGTATTAGATGATGGAGTTGAATGGTGAGAGGATTTGTGAAATGGAAAGTGGTTTCATCAAATAAAACATGTTGATATATGTATACTCTATTATTATTAGGATCTAAGCACCTATGTCCTTTGTGCAATAAGATATACCCAAGAAAGAGACATCTCTTGCTTTTGCCATCTAACTTAGAGGAAATATAGGGTTTTAATCATCGATAGCAATGACAATCAAAGATATTGAGCCTAGTATAATCAGGATATCTATGAAATAACAGTTCCCATGGGGATTTGGCAATACCAAAAATAGGCAATATGTTAATCAAATAAACTATAGTAGAAAAAGCTTCAACCTAGTATTCCTAAGGGACATGAGATGCAACCAAGAGAGTTCCAATTGTCTTTACAAGATGCTTGTGTTTTCTTTCTACACATTCATTTTGTTTAAGTGTATGAGGACAACTAAATTGATGCAAAAATGTAGAACAGACCTTAGACTTTGCCTTTAAAGAAAAAAAGCAGCAATACTTGCTATGATCATCCACTAGTAACAAGTAATGCAATAGATCTAAACTTTGCACAAAAAATGAAGTAGCAAGACTAAATGGCAACTTATGATTCTTAGATATAGCACAGTTTAAACAAAAGAATTCAACTGAAGTTTTACCTTGCAAAGCAAGTTTATTGCCATAAATAACCTTTATAAAGATAGAGGATGTTGAATGGCCCTGATCTACGATGCCATATTTGTATTGG